CCGCCGTGACCGCTTCTTCACCAAGAAGGACGAGCTGGCGCGCAAGAGCTGCGGTGGCGGGGGCGTGTGACACCGAGTCACCGCCATTGGCAGCTCCCGCAGCGCCACCTGCTGCTTCTCTGTCAGCGGCATGCGCATTCCGTCGCTGCCGCCGCCATCGCTGCGGGAGCTGCGGGAGCTGCAGCGGCTCAGGCTCAATCCCCGCAGGCTGCCGCTGCGCGACCGCGGGCGCGAGCCGAAGTTGTTGAGGGAGCCGCTGTAGCTTACAGCCGATGGCAGCCGCTCCTCCATCGACACCGAAGCGCTGTTCCTGCGGGATGCAATTATCTCCGAGTTGAGCTGTGCACCCGACCTGGCGAGGGACAACTGTGGCTTCTCGTTCAGCTCGCCAGTGTTTCTAATGCTGAGGTTGCTGTCGTTGTTGTTGGTGGTGATGTTGTTGCTGCTGCTGTTTTTACCGCTGTCAGGCTTTTGGGTTTTCTTCTGCTTCAGCTCGCGCGGCTTCTTCTGCCTGCGCGACTCACCATCTTTCATCGCTGAGTACGAGAAGCTGGCAGGCCACGCCCCGTCGCCTATCAGGCGGCCGTTACTGCCGCCCTTCGCGATGAGCGGCAGCGACATGGTGCGGTTCACGTCCCCGCCATTCTCCGCGCTCTTGTTTCCGCCACCGTTGTTGTTGTTGCTGCTTCTGCTGGTCCTGCTATTATTATTCCTATTTTTCTTATTNCCGCCATTCTCCGCGCTCTTGTTTCCGCCACCGTTGTTGTTGTTGCTGCTTCTGCTGGTCCTGCTATTATTATTCCTATTTTTCTTATTTGGCTCTTCGGACTGCTCGAAGTGTGGCACAGAACGCGTGGGGGACTGTTTGAATCTGAGGGGGCCCTCGGTGCCGTTTAGCAGCGCCGCCTCGGCCTTGTTGTTGCTGTCGCTGTTGCTTCTGGTGTTACGTTGTCCCATTGAGCGTCGGGGGAACACTCTTGTCTTCACTGGGAGTAACTCAATGGAGTGGTCTGGGCGAAACATGCAGCAGCGGGGCAGCGGCAAGCACACCAGCCAGGTCCCTCCACTCAAGAAGCCTGCACGCCAATGCGGTCCAAGCCGTTCTGTATATCTTCCCACAATGCAGCAAAAGAGAAGCAACAGTCGTGAAAACGAAGCAAAAAAACAATACGGGGGGAGAAGAGAGAAGAGAATGAATAAGCAACGAGCAATGCAGCAGATCCACAGCGCATTTCTGCAGTATTTATGTATATATATATTTTTTTTATGCATGTTGCACTTCAGGTTGTGTGGAGTGGTGCGCAACGTGGAGGTAATGCATGTGTGTGTGGCGAAACAGAACCAGCCACGCTGTCCAAAGTATGCACGGTGCGCCTAAGAGAGTGGGATATGAGGACAGAGGCAGTGTGGAAGATATATATATATATAGATATAGATATATATATATGCTGCACGCACTATTCCTTTGTCGTTTTGTTTTGTTTTTTGTTTTTTTGCCTCGATGCGTGTGTGTACTCGTTTTGCTTCCACAACAGCTGCACCGTAGCGGGATGGAGCACGGCACCCACAAGAACAACAACAAGGGAAAGGAGAAGAAAATGCGGTTCGACACAATACCGCCACGACACGAAAGATAACACGAACAAAAAAGAACAGAATAAACACGACAATAACAAAGCAAAAAACAACAACCAAAACTGCATTGATTCTGTTGCGGCCGCTGCTGCTGCCTTTCCACGGAGAGGCAACAAGGGGCGGGAGATACACACATGTGATGGCGAG